ACAGCAGCTCCCTCTGGAGCGGCAGTTGTTCCCACCCGTGAGTGGCCTTCGGGCCCTTGGTCTTCCCTCCTCTCCTCCTGTTCACACTCCGTCCCCTCCAGCGTTTGGTCCCACGTTTCCTCCTCCTGACGCCTGTCCGGCGGTCTGGTCTTCTCCTCCACCGCAGTCTCCTCCACCTGGTGTCCCGCACTCTCGTGTCCGTCCCTGTCCTCCGCGTGCTCGTCACTCGTCTCCCGTTACCGACCTCCGCACTGCCCTCCTTTGTTCGTCTCTTCGTCGTCCTCCTCCTGAGTCCGTTCTCCCGTCTCCGCCTCCGTCCTCTCTCCCTTTCCCCCCTACTCCTGTCACTGACTACTACCGCGCTGTTCGTCCTGTTGTCTCTCGTGTCCTCGCCACTCTTGTCACCGACTCTCGTTTCCCTCCGTCGTCTGTCTCGGCTCTCACTGCCGCTGTCGTTGAGTTTGCTGCTGCCAGTCGCCTTGACTACACCACCCGTGTGGTGCCAGCTCCTCCCTCCCGTCCTCTGTCCGTCGGGGGTGGGTTTGCCCTTGGCTGTGACGTCCTAGAGGACAGAGAGTCTGAGCTGGAGTACTGGGCAGCCGCTTCTCCCTCTGTCTGTGCCATGCTGCTATCCCCTGAGGGAGACCCCGACGCCCTTGACATACCGACTCCTCGCACTTACCGCGAGGCAGTGTCAGGGGCGTGGGCCTCACAGTGGAAAGCGGCTATGGCCTCGGAGTTAGCGTCTTGGAGATCTACAGGCACCTACGACGACGCAGTTCCCCCTCCCAGGGCGAACGTAGTCGATGGCATGTGGCTCTTCAAGGTGAAGCGGCCGCCTGGTTCACCGCCTGTGTTCAAGGCGCGCTACGTGGCTAGGGGTTTCAGTCAGCGTGAGGGAGTTGACTTCTTCCAGACCTTCGCCCCGACCCCAAAGATGACTACTCTTCGGGTGTTACTGCACGTAGCAGCACAGCGAGACTACGAGCTGCACTCCCTTGACTTCTCTACTGCGTTTCTCCAGGGCCGACTACACGAGGAGATCTGGCTGCGCCGCCCTCCTGGCTTCACTGACACCTTCCCACCTGGGACCCAGTGGAGCCTGAGACGGCCAGTCTACGGTCTCCGCCAGTCGCCCCGTGAGTGGCACGACACTCTTCGCTCCACGCTTCGTGACCTTGGGTTTTGTCCTTCCTCTGCCGACCCGTCGCTGTTTGTTCGCACTGGTTCCACTCCTTTCTTTATACTAGTGTACGTCGACGACTTGGTCTTTGCCACAGCAGACAGGGCAGCTCTGGCTCAGGTGAAGTCCGAACTGCAGAAGAGACACACGTGCACTTACCTAGGTGAACTGCAGCGCTACCTTGGCCTGCAGATCACCAGGGACAGAGCCGCTCGCACCATCACACTGACTCAGTCACACATGGTGCAGCAGGTCCTTCGGCGGTTCGACTTCCAGTTCTCCACCACACAGCCCACACCTCTTGCTGTTGACCACAGACTCACTGGCCCCTTTCCCGACGAGCCTTTTGAGTCCAGTAGTCCCTACGCAGAGTTGGTGGGCTGCCTCATGTACCTGATGACTTGTACTCGGCCGGACCTCGCCTTTCCCCTCAGCGTCCTCTCTCGCTTTGTTGCGACTGGGAGACACCGTCCTGTCCACTGGACAGCTGCTGTGAGGGTGGCGAAGTACCTGGCGACTACATCAGGCATGGGGCTTGTGCTTGGAGGGACTCAGCCAGTGGCGTTGACTGGTCACTGCGACTCTTCCTACGCTGACGACGTGGAGACTCAGCGCTCGACTCAGGGTTACTGCTTCAGTCTGGGTGCTGGTGCTGTGTCGTGGAGGTCTACACGGTCGTCGTCTGTGGCTACTTCCAGTGCAGAGGCAGAGATCTACGCTGGTGCCATGGCGGCACAGGAGCTTCGCTGGTTGACCTTCTTGCTCGCCGACCTTGGTGAGCGGCCTCGCTCTGCACCGACCTTGTACGCTGACAACAAGGCCATGATCCTCCTCTGTCGAGAGCCTCGACTGGAGAGCAGAGTGAAGCATATTTACGTGAGGTACTTCCTTCTGCGAGAGCTGCAGCGACGCGGCCAGGCACGCCTGGACTTTGTGGCCTCAGAGGCCAACACTGCAGACGTCTTCACCAAGGCCCTGGCGCTTGGTGACCACCACAGGTTCTGTGTGCAGTTGGGGCTTGTTGAGGTAGGCCCTCGGTTGCTGTAGACTTGCTGTTTGCTCTGCTTGTTGTGCTTTGCTATATATATCCTAGTGAACTCTTGAACTGGCCTTGTGGCCGCTTGCTTGTGCTCGGAATTTGTGTGGTGTCCTTGAGATCCACCCTGAGCTTGCTTTGCTTCTTGCAGTGACTGGTCTTGTGACCGTTTGTTCACCCTGCTTGCTTTGATGCCCCTCACTTAGCCTATGGGGGTGTGTCAAATGTTATTATAGGTTCTTAGGCTACAGTGAGTAGCACTATAGGGAGTACAACACTTTTAGGGTTGCTATTTGTATCCCTTGTTTCCCTAGTTCACACATTCCGTTGTTTGCTAACTTTGAGAGAATCTTGGCAGTAGGTAGAGACTGGTGGTACGGGGAGAGATCAACCACAATGGTTACGAGGAGCAAACTGAATTGTGGGTTACGCGATTCGTGTTGGGACACCATCCGAAGTTCCCCCACGATAAGGAGCGCCTCCGTGAGGAGGGCAGTGGTGTAGTAACAAGGTAGGCAGGTAGCAGCTTCCAGGAATCGGCTGTTACTACAAAATCTTACGACTTTAGATAAGTTATTCAGTAAGCCTGCACTGTAAGGAGATGTGGAACCTGTCTAGCCGGAACATAGCGTGTAACAAACGAATTTGAATTCGAGCCTCCTGCGATCCTCGCGCAGCGAAACGATTTGGTTACACTTTCGTTTGAAACTTGGTTGGCTTGAATTCGCGGCGCCACCAATTTTGCTCCACTAGAAGCCAGGCTTTTCAAGTGGCTGGGATGGGAGTGTTTATCGGTGGGTGCTTTGCAACTCTACGACCTAACCACTGTCGCGGTCGGTGTGGGTGCATGGTGGGGTGGAGGATAGATGGGCTGATCCCAGAAGAGATAGGTGCTGCGGTGATTAGGTGGTGCTGCGGTGGCATGACAATGCCAGGGCACCTCTGCACAAGCCAGCGAGTCTTCGATTCTCGCTCGACTCTCTCTGCGTCGGAGAATCCTAACTTCGTGCTCCACCTCCCCTCCTTGCCCCGCCTCCTTGCCCCGCCTCCAGAAACATGCGTGCCGACATTATTCGCGTAGACGACGACGACGACGATTGGGACAAGGAACGAGAGTTGTGTCGCGTAGCGACGGTGGCTGATAAGCCGACCCACTACTACTAGTAGCCCTCAGCGCACCAACTCACTCACCGTCTCGACTCGCAACTTGCGAGCACGCACACACTGCATGCAGTCTCCTCGTTTCAGCCGTGCGAGTCGTCAGAAATGGGCAACCCATTGTCGCGTACTCACCGCTTGCCTCGACGCCATCTCGTCGACGCGTCACCGTCCACGCATCGGTCGACCGCTGCGGACTTGAGAGATGTCGGAGACCCGCTGCTCGCGCAGGCTCCACACAGTTATGAGCGTTCCGAGGGCTATAAAGATCCATGGCCCGCCCTCCCATCGACATCACATCCCATCCAAGTGCTTCGAGTCCTTACTAGTAGATCCCATCGGCAATTGGGCAACTCGGCAGATCGTTTTGAGACTCCGTCGGCAACTCGCAGATAGCTTTGAGTTGACATCAGCGGCTTTTCAGAGTTGAGTGGATCATGGCGACAACGAAGATCCTTGCGGTTCTGATTCTCGTTCTTGTGGCCACCTCATGTGAGTCCGCTCCCACTCCTCTTGCTCCTCGTTCTCTTGCTCTCCGCCACTTGCTCTCCGCCACTTGCTCTCCGCCTCGTGCCCCACGCGTCCCACTGCTCTCTTCTATTGGTTCTTTTTATTTTTTCTTCTGAAGCTGTTTTTAACGAATTAGCGAGCCGTCGTTTGCATGAGCAGGTGCCTTTGCTGCTCCTGGTAACGGCAAGGGGAAAGGCGGAAACGGAAAGGGAGGCGGTAAGGGAAACGGTGGCGGAAAAGGCAACGGGAAGGGCGGAAACGGAAAGAGGGGCGGGAATGGTGGCGGAATTCTGGGTGCGCTGACTGGCGGGAATTCGACGGGCGGATGGGGCGCGGGCGGCATATTCTCGGGCCTCACCTCGCTCTTTGGCAACGGCAGCACTCCGAGCGCCCTGGGGGGCATCTTTGGGCGCAAGGGCGGGAATGGGAAGGGCAAGGGGAATGGCGGAGGCGAGGGGGACGGTACGGAGAGTGTTGGCGCAGGCGCGAGTGAGGCAGTGATTGGGACGATGGGGGTCGGTAACGGCAAGGGGCAGGGCAACGGGCAGGGGCAGGGGCAGGGTAAGGGAAAGGGGAATGGCGGAACCAAGGGGAAGGGCAAGGGCAAGGGCAAGGGGAATGGCGGAACCAAGGGGAAGGGCAAGGGCCAGGGGAACGGGCAGGGGAACAGTACAGACAGTGGTAGCCCCGCAGGCGTGGCAATAACTGCCAGCTCGCGAGTGATGGGGATGATGGGGGTAGGCAATGGCAAGGGGCAGGGCAATGGGCAGGGGCAGGGGAATGGGCAGGGGCAGGGCAACGGGCAGGGACAGGGCAATGGGAAGGGGAATGGGAGGGGGCTTGGGTGGGGTAAGCGCGGGAAGAGTGCGAATGGCGTGTTGGCGCAGCTGAGGGGCAGCAGTGTGGCGGCTGATGCGCTGACAGCCCCTGGCGATGCCAACGCCACTGGCGTCCTCGAAATCACCCTCCTCCCGTGAGTCCTCTCAATCTTGACTGCTTCATTGATATCCTTTTGCGTCGCTGTCTCCCCCTGTCTTCCTCGCTCATAGCGTCCCCTCCCCCACTATCCTTTCCCCCTTCCCCCTCCTCCATTTGCCCGTGTATCGTCGGCAGGAACGGCACGGACTACGACGTGGCCTTCACGGTGCGCATCTCCCTCTCGAGTGACGCCGCCCCCACGGCGCTCACTCTCAACAGCGGCAGCGCTGTCACCACCGGCGCGACTCTGCTGGACTTTTCCACGGCCACGGGTGCGGACGGCGCGTCCCCCCCTGCGTGGACCAGCGCGGCCTCGGCCTCCCCTGGCAGCGGCCCCATGGGGCGCGCGTGGGGCCGCCTGCAGCGCGCAGTGGGGCGCTCTGCGCGCACGGCAGGGCTGCACACCTTCACTCTCACGGGCGTGTGGCGCGCCGCTGCCACCGTGGCTGCTGCGGACGGCGTGCAGACGGTGAAGGACGTGGCGCTGGCGGTTGTGGCGCAGCCCACCGCCTTCTATGCTCTCGTCGCTTCCCCCGGGTTTGAGGCGGGTGCTGCTAGGGGGCAGTTCCAAAAGGCGCCCAAAGGATGGGCGTTCGGCCTCAGAAACTGAAGACTCGAGGGAATGGGAGGCCAGGGAGATTGTGGAGGTAGGATGTGTGGGGGTTCCGAGGAGATGGTGCTGACTGTGCTTTATCTGAGCCTCCGACAGAGTCTGTTGTTAGAGGGCCTACGCCTTGCATGTGGATGAGGACGTGTGGCTGTCTGGCTGCAACAGCCCTTTGCTTCATTTACAGCACGTCCGAACACGAGGGCAGGCTCTAGAACAACAGGTCTTCAGTTGTCTTGTATTTACTCGAATGTTACTGTTTGTATGGCAATCTCATCAAATCGATGACAATTCTATGTCAAATGTTGTTATAGTCTCTTAGGCTACAGTGAGTAGCACTCTAAGGGGTACAACTCTATTTGTATGTCTTGTTTCTCTAGTTTCTCATCATTCCGTTGCTAACCACTCTTGAGATGGTATCACGAGCAGGACCGTTCCTAGCCCGTTCCTAGCCTAGTGTTCACCCTCCGCGCCCTCCGCGCCTAGCTCGCGCCCTCCGCGCCCTCCGCGCCCTCCGCGCTTAGCTCGCACCTCCGCACCCTTTGTGCCTCCGCGCCTAAACCGCGCCACTGCACCCTCCGCGCCTAGCCCGCGCCCTGCCCCTAGCCCGCGCGACGCCCGTAGGCTCTGCCCCAGCCCGTCGCGGCGCCCGTGCGCCCTGCCCCTAGCCAGCGCGTAGCCCGTAGGCGCTGCCCCAGCTCGTCGCGGCGCCCCTGCGCCCTGCCCCTAGCCAGCGCGTAGCCCGGAGGCTCTGCCCCGGCCCGTCGCGACGCCCGTGCGCCCTGCCCCTAGCCCGCGCGTAGCCCGTGCGCCCTGCCCGTTGCCCACGCGCGGCCCGTACGCCCTGCCCCTCGCCCTCCGCGCCTAGCCCGTCGCCCACGCCCCAGCCCTAGCCCGTCGCCCCAGCCTTCGACCTAGCCCGTTGCCCACACCAGCCCCTAGCCCGTCGCCCACGCCCCAGCCCTAGCCCGTCGCCCACGCCCCAGCCCTAGACCGTCGCCCACGCCCCAGCCCTTGCCCGTCGCCCATTTCCCACCGTCGCGCCCTCCCCCCGCCCTTTCCCACCGTCAAAACAGCCCTCCCTGCCCATTCCCACCGTCAAACCGCCCTCCCCGCCCATTCCCACCGTCAAAACCGCCCTCCCGCCCATTCCCACCGTCAAAACCGCCCTCCCGCCCGTTCCCACCGTCAAAACCGCCCTCCCGCCCGTTCCCACCGTCAAAACCGCCCTCCCCGCCCATTCCCACCGCCCATTTCCAACGGCCCAGGCGGAGTACGACCGTCGGGTCCTGGCCAGGGACGTGTGGCTCTCGCGTGACGCTGCCGCCGCTCTCACACTGTCGGAGCTTCTCCCCCCGACTGAGGCCGCCCATTTTGACCAGGTGGAGACAGCCAAGGGGGTTTGGGATGCTATTATTGCCCGCTACTCCACCCCCTCCTCTGCCTCCCTCAGTCGCCTCCTCATGCCGTTTGTGTTTCCCGACCTAGGCTCGTTTGCGACTGTTTCCGACCTAGTGACTCACCTCCGCTCGCTTGACGCCGGTTTTCGTGCGGCCTGTACCGACGCACAGCTTCTTGTTGCTCCCCCCCCCCATGTGGCTCACTGTGCACTGGTTAGTCACCCGCCTCCCTGACCGCCTTGCCACTGCCCGCGACGCGCTTCTACAGAAGCACCCCACTGAGCTCACTATCGACCTCCTCGCGACTGCTCTCGGGACCATCGAGAGCAGTCTCCTCACCGTTGCCTCCGCCACTGATGCGGTGGCCCCCCGTCTCTTTGCGGGGTGTGCCGCCCCTCAGCTTCCCACTTTCACCGCTACCCGTGCCTCTGCTGCTGTGTCGGTCTCTGAGGACACCGCTGCCGTTTCTGCCGCAGACTGGCAGAAACGGGGCAAGAGTGGCAAGAAGGGCGAGAAGGGGGGAGGTGGGGGCGGCGGCGGCGGCGGTGGAGGGGGCGGTGGAGGGGGCGGTGGAGGTGGGAGCGGCGGTGGTGGAGGCGGCAGCGGCAGCGGCGGCGGTGGTGCACCAGGAGGAGGGGGCCCTGGAGGAGGTGCAGGACAGACAGGCCCTCCTACTGGTGGAGGCCCACAGCGGCAGCAGCCACAGCAGCACCAGCCACAGCAGGGACAGCAGCAGCAGCAGGGACCGCAGCAGCAGCAGGTACCCCAGCAGTGGGGGCCCCCGCTGCAGTGGGGTCCGCAGCAGCACTGGGGTCCCCCGCCGCAGTGGGGTCCGGGAGGACCTGGGAGCACCGGCCGCAGCAGCAGCACTTCCAGTTGGGCCCCTCGCCCCCCCCGCCGTGACAGGGGCCCCTGCACTCACTGGTGCGTCACCGGACCGGGGAGCCCCTGTCTCTGTGGTCGCGACGACCACTCTGCCGCGCGGTGCTTCCGCCGTCTCGACGATCTCTACCGTGCTCGTTGGGGCCCGCTGTTGGTCACACCTCGCTGGTCTCGTCTGTTAGCTCGTAAGATTGATGTCTTTGATCTGTCCATGGACGATGCGCTTCAGCATGCTTTGTATGTTGATGCTGACTTTAGTGCTGATGGATCAGTGTGCTCGCGTGTTCGTAGATTAGCTTGCTTGCCTCCTGCTAGTGTAGCGTTGTGCCTTTCTAGTCTAGGTGCTTGTGTTGCTGCTCTAGGTGCTTGTGTAGCTACTATGACAGGTGACTCTCCGGCTGAGGCGTCCCTGTCTTTCACACTGGACTCGGGCGCGTCGCAGTGCTTCTTCCGCGACCACACGACCCTTACGCCACTTCTCACCCCTGTTTCGGTGGCTCTGGCTGATCCTACCTCTGGACCAGCCGTTGCTCGTAGCTCCACGACCCTCCCGTGTCCGGTGGTCCCCTCTGGGGTCCTGCGCGGTCTCCACATCCCCTCGTTCACTCGGAACTTGGTGGGTGTTGGATACCTCCAGGACCGAGGGATCACGGTTACCTTTGTGGGGGGTGGGAGGACTGCGGTCTGTACAGACGCTGCCACAGGTGCTGTTCTCGCCACGTTCACCAGGGAGCCCCGCTCCGGTCTCTACGTCCTCCACACCGAGCGCTCCCCGGTTACGTCCTCCCCTCAGGTCGTCCCGTCCCCTCCTGTCCAGGCGTCCAGTCCAGTTGAGGTGTCTAGTCAGGTGGCCGTGTCCAGTCCAGTCGCTGCGTCTTGCTCCTGTCGCTCTCTCGCCCACCGCACCGTCCTGTGGCACCACCGCCTTGGCCACCCGTCGATCCCTCGCCTTCGTGGCATGCTCAGTCAGGGACTTGTCACAGGTCTCCCACGCACCTTCCCGTCGCTCCCTCCCTCGCTTGCTCCCCCTTGCTCTCCGTGCGTCGCCGGTCGCTTACGCGCCACTCCCCACTCCTCCTCCCTTCGTCCGGCCACCGCTCCCTTCGAGACTCTCCACTTGGACGTCTGGGGCCCTGCCCCGACGCAGGGGTCTGGGAGGGAGCGTTACTTTCTGGTGGTCGTCGACGACTACTCCAGGTACACCAAAGTGTTCCCTCTTGCGAAGAAGTCCGAGGTGACTGCTACGCTGATCAGGTGACTTCTAGCCATTGAGGGCACTCGTGGTCGTCAGGTCAGTTGTCTCCACTCCGACCGTGGGGGCGAGTTTCGCTCCGGCATTCTCGCCGGATTCTGCGGCGAGCAGGGCATTGTACAGTCCTGGACGCTGCCGGAGTCCCCACAGCAGAATGGGGTTGCTGAGCGCCGCATTGGCTTGGTCATGGACATCGCCCGCACGTCCATGATCCATGCCCGTGCGCCCCATTTTCTGTGGCCCTACGCGGTTCGCTACGCCGCATACCAGCTGAACCTCCAGCCGCGTGTCTCGCGGCCCGAGGCTTCACCGACCAGTCTTTGGACTGGTTCCCCTGGTGTTGGGTCGGCCTTTCGAGTCTGGGGCTGCCTTGCGCAAGTCCGCGACACCTCTGCGGACAAGCTCTCGGCACGCGCCATCGACTGTGTCTTCCTTGGTTTCCCGGTCGACTCTGCTGACTGGTCCTTTTACCACCCGCCCCTCCACCAGTTCCTCGACTCCCGTGACGTCAGGTTCGACGAGTCCGTGTCCTACTTCACCCGGTACCTCTGTCGAGGTCTCCCGGTACCCCCTCCCCCCCTTTTCCTCGCCCCCTCTCCTCCTCCTGTCCCCGCTCCTCCGGTACCACCGCCCCCCCCTGGTCCTGCCCCGTCTGGTGTGTCTCACGCTACCCCTCTGCCGTCAGTCGCACGTCAGGTCGCGTCTCCCTCCCCACAATCCTCCTCCCAGTCCCCTCAGCAGCCCTCGGCACGTCCGCGACAGGTGGTTGCGGACTCTGGGGGTGTTGGCGCTGGGGGGGCTGCCACTGGAGGTGCTCGGTCACAGGGTGCTGGAGCTGGAGGTACTGGCACTGGGGGCGCTGCTTCTGGGGGTGTAGGAGTCGGAGGTGTTGGTGCTGGAGGCACTGACACTGGAGGTGCTGGTTCTGGGGGTGCAGGAGTCGGAGGTGCTGGTGCTGGAGGCACTGACACTGGAGGTGCTGGTTCTGGGGGTGCTGGTTCTGAGGAGACTGGAGCTGGAGACCCTGGTTCTGCGGAGTCCACTCCGCCTCCCCACCGCCACGACACCCGTCTCCAGGCTGCCCGTCGGCGTGAGCGTGAGGAGCAGGAGCGGTTGGAGAGGGAGCGGCAGGAGCTGCGGGTGCTGGACCTTCTGGAGCAGCAGAGGCAGCAGCAGCTGCTGCAGCAGCAGCAGCAGCAGCAGCAGCAGCAGCAACAGCAGCAGCCACAGCAGCAGCAGCAGCAGCAGCAGCAGCCGCAGCAGCAGCCGCAGCAGCAGCCGCAGCCACCGCAGCAGCCGCAGCAGCAGCAGTCGCAGCCGCCACCGCAGCTTCCTCTGGAGCGGCAGTTGTTCCCACCTGTGAGTGGCCTGCGGGCCCTTGGCCTTTCCTCCTCTCCTCCTGTCCGCTCCCAGTCTCCTCCTGTGTTTGGTCCTACGTTGCCTCCTCCTGACGACCGTCCGGCGGTCTG